TTAAGGAAAGAAAGAAAATTAGTTTTTTTTTTCTCTTTTAAGGAAAGAAAGAAAATTAGTTTTTTTTATATGAAAAGATAAAGAAAATGAAAAATCCTAATTAAAATAAATCAAGACAATCACTTTTCAATCAACTCTAACTCTAGGGTTTAGCCTAACTCAACTAGACCAGCTCCTAACCAAAAACTCCTACAGTGAAAAGATCAAAGTTTTACCCAGGTAGTTAGCCAGGTAAGGATAGTACTAGAGGGTGATCAAAGATCAATTAAGTACCTCTTTCCTTGCGGAGCGCTTTACGCAACCCCTAAACCTTGCCTTAGACACCAACTATTCTGAGAAAACTTAAACCGTTCACTTAAGGATTTCTTGTTCCTTATTGAGCTTGAATCCTTAGAGGCCAATGTCTAATGAGTTTTAGAAGGCTAGGGTTTATGAAGTGAGGAATTAGTGATTTATGGGCTAAGGAAAGGGTGATGAAATCCCTTACCTTATCTTGATTGGGGTTTTGCCCTTAAGAATGATTTAAGTGTGTGCCAAATCAAGTGCTACAATCACTTTGGTGAATTCCTACACTATATGAAATGCAACCCTAGAATTTAAAAGCGACTAAAAATGATGATAAAAAAAAATCTTTAAAGAAAATCTTTATATTTTTTAATTATGGTCAACAATAATCAAAAGTGAGAAGGGGAAAATTGTTTGAGTTTATTATCTTGTTAGTTAATATCTAAGTGAAAGATGGATTTTATTATGGTCAACAAAAATAAAATCTTTTTTTTTAAATCCTAATTGTCTCTAATTGTGAAGCTAGCTAAAGAGGGTGGAATTGAAAACTAGAAAGAAGACTTACCCGAAAGCAATGCTCCAAATTCTTGATCTTCAATCCAAGATTTTCAAGCTCCAAGCGGTTCCTTCACAAGAAAAATACACAAGTTAAAGAATCAAGTTAATAAAATCCTATTTTAGCACCTTCCCCGGCAACGGCGCCAAAAACTTGATGCGGCATAATTATGTACCAAAATTGCAAGTGCACAATTTATCAAGTTATAGTATAAAAAGATATCGATCCCACGAGGAAGGTGATTTTAAGAGATTATTAGAAATGATTCTTATGTTTTGTGCATGACAATTAGGAATAAAGAATAAGTGTGATTTTGTTGAGTGATTGTTATGAATATATGCAAAAGATAATAAATTGAATTTTAGAGGAGAGAAGGAAGAATTAAAGAATAAATGAAATCACAAGGCAAGAAAGATGAATGAATAAAATCAAGAAATAAAACCAAGAATGAAAAGAAAATTTAAGAAAGTCAAGATGGAGGATTCAAAAGAGGTAAGAAATCTAGAATATAATCCACTAACCAATTTCAATTACAAAATATAAACTATTCTCTTTTTATCATATTTCAACTTAGATTTATTAAGCATAGATTATCAAACCATTTAAGGAAAGTGTAACCTATCAAATTATCATCTAAGTCAAAATTACTATTCATGATAAGAACAACAACATGATAATAATCCTAGAATTCATAAGCATAACCTATCAAACCATTTAAGATAAGCATAGATTATCAAATTCTTCTTCTACCGATTAGTTCTCTAGTTGATTATCCTAAACATGAACATTTTAAGTACAAGAGAATAATTCATACAATATAAAAGAAATTAGACTAGTTTCATACAATTCTAAGATTCCTACAAGAATTAAATTCACATCTTAAGAAATAAAAACAAGAAAAAGAAGACTAATTACAAAATTAAAAAGAAAAGAAAAATCTAAACTATGAACAAGAAATAAATCTAATTACAAAGAAAATAAAAATCTAAACTACAAAATAAATTGCAGAAATTAAATGCAAGAAAAATAAATCTACTCTACAAATTAAAGTGCAAAAAGAAAATAAAAAGACAAGAAAGTAAATCTATACTACAAGCATGAATTTAAATCTAACTAATAAGCAATAATAAAGAAATACTAAAAAAAAAATAAAAGAGAAAAGAAATGCAAACCTTCAAATTGCTCTTCATCTCCATCCTCATCATTCCACAAAGAGGAGAAAGAACAAATTTAAAGAGGAAAAAATTATTTTTATTAATTGCAACTAAAGTTACAATTTTTGGAAGGCCTTCTCAATTAAGAGTAGCCCTCCTCTTCAAAAGGAGTTTACAAAATTTTCACACCTCTAACCCCTCACTCTCTACCCCTATTTATAGTAAACATCAGTGAATGAGAGCCATTGGATTCAAATCTTATCCAAAACCAACAAAAATCAGCCATTGGATTGTAACTGCCTGGACGTCCGTATCGATACCCGCAGCCCCAAGTAACAATCTCCACCTTTAAATTATTTTTTTGTTCTTCTCTAGCTTAATCACAAGATTTATTTGATTTTTAAAACAAATTCGGTCCACTGTAGCAATCATTTGATGTCCGGCCCATCAATTCTCTGCAGCAAATGGCATTTGATTTTCGAAATCAGCAGTACCTCAAGGTCCGGTTTGTTGAGCTATTTCATTTTTCAAAACCGCAATTGAAGCAATCAAGTCCATATGCATTTGAATTTTTGAAGTCCGGCCCATTTGTTAAAATCCAGCAATCCTGGCCCATGTGTTTGCAATTGTATTTCGGAATGAAGAGCTGCAGCAGTCTTTTGTAATCTTCATGGACTTGTAATCTTCATGGACTTGTAATCACGTCCGGTCTTTGGAGCTTTGCATAAAAGCCCATCTGCAGTAGTGATTTGCTTGTGAAAATACACCAAGTCCGGTCTTGCATAAAAGCCCAATTCATTTCACTCTTTGCATCCAAGTCCAATCCAATTTAATTATTTGAATTTCTCTTATTTCTTTATTTATTCAATGGCATTTGTTGAGAGATGGGATTTTTGGGATTTATTCTTCATTAACCTGTAATTAAAAATAAAAGCAATTATTAGTGGTATATTTATTCATATAAAATAGATAATGAGGGTATAAAATTGTAATAAAAATGTGATTATCAAATACCCCCACACCTAAACTTTTGCTAGTCCTCTAGCAAAGAAAATAAAAAGAAAATCCTAACTCACTTTCGCAGGAATCACGGTTGTATTTAGCGCATACAACAAGCCTTTAAACCCCTAGGTTACCCTAGTAGTTTTGGGCTGGGTCTGTTTTCCAGACCCGTTTCGTTTGGGTTTTCTATAAATACCCAAACTCGATTCTAGGATTTGTAAGGCAAGTGTTTTGAGCTGTTGAAATGAGTTTTCTTTGGGCTTCTATTCTAGGAGCAATTGGTGAGATCAAGAGTTGATTTGTTGAGGGTTTATGAGAAATTTGTAACCCTAGTTGTATCCCCTTGATGTCTAATAGTGAAAACTCCCCCCTCTTTGCCCCGTGGACGTAGGCATCTCGCCGAACCACGTAAAATCTGGTGTTTGATTGTTTGTGCTATTGTTTGGTGTGGTTGTTTCTCTCTCTCGGCTATTTGGTTGGATCTCGGCATAGAGGCTTCTCCCCAACAGTAAAGGATGTAAAGCTTTAAGAATTTATGTAATGGTTTCGTATAGTGAAGACTAGTCGATTCATGCATCATTATCACCTGGTGAACACATTGTTCTATCTAAAAAAGTTAGTTCAATTGAAATGGTGACGAGCTTAGGCTATTACTATTACATTCTGCTTGTTTTTTTTTTCAGTTTTGAGTAAGCGAGGAAAGATACCCAGGAAAGTTGTTAACTAGAGAAAATTGGTAAAATATACATGATTTTAGTCTCTGAATTCTTAGACATGACAACAAAGTGCTATCTTCATTAGCTGGACCCGAGTATCACAATTATAAGACACATGCTTGGTTGATCTCATGTGGGGGTTTCTCTACATCACTTGATTTTTCCTGACTATGATTGCGGCAGTATCTAATATTGAATTTGTACCTGATGATTCTTTTCTTTCTTCAGTGATCATTGTAAGCCTAATCATAATTCCATGACACAGCCGAGCCACATGTGATCTTCTTGGAGAAGAGTAAGTTGTTCATCGCTTAGTTATGTTGGTTTTGCCTTTCGAGCTTTTCTCGTGCAGAGACGGAATAATTCTATTGGCCTTTTCAGGTATCCAAGTTTCTTTTTGAGCATTTTGTTTATTCTGGTACATCCTATTGAATTTAAATTTATTTCTTCACAGAATGTATTTTAGTGGGTCGAACCCAATTTTGATGGGAAAAAAAGCTTAAGATGACGATAATCATGAGAGTCTTTTCTAGTGTTTTCTTTTTTCCCTTGCATAAAACAGAAACTGTTTCCTTGTTCTTGTACAAGCACTTTGTTCCGCAAAGCTGATGGTTGTTGCTCTGGTTCCAACTTTTGATTCTCTCTGCTGATTTCATCTGCTTATGGATTCTGCTGTGGATTTTCAGTTGCTTACAGCATGGAATATGTGTTTATACTTTTCATAAACCTCGTTTGATTTCGAGGGTCAATCTTCACCTCGACGATGAAATCTTGATTAGGTTTAAAATGAAGAGAGCTTCTAATCAGACCCGTAAGCTTGCTAGGATCGAAACCATCTGTTCTTCAAGCATTTCATGTAAGCCAAACAGGCACTGCTGTGAGAACTGTTCTCAGTTACCTTCATTTAGCCAAGATACCAATGAGCTACTGTTTGTTGCGGATAGACCCCTGTACCATGACCAAATTGCGAACAGACACCCTGGACTTCTATTTTTGCAGGTGGACCCCCTGGATTCTCTATCTTCATTAGTTCTTCCATTTAAATTATTAGTTACGTAATGATCATTATGCAAGTTTACCGTCGGTAAATCAGTTTATGAATCTCATATGTTTCAGTTTATGAAGAATTTTAACGTGAAAACTAACAGAATCGAGAAGCCAGAAGGTCCATCTGCAACAAGAGAAGTACATATGGGCTCCATCCGCATTTTTTGCAATAGTACACGGGGGCTGTTTGCAAAACATAAAAATATTCATACAGCTATATATAGATTAAGGACATACCTAAAATAGGAGTCAATATACCAATATTAATTTCATTCCATGGTTTAAGGTTGTTACTTCCTTTTATACTGTATATATAACTTAATATTAATATTGGCACAACAGCAAGCTACGGTTCATGTAGGAACCTTAAGTTGCTCCTGTAACTGCAAATACATGTTCATTTACAACTCGTTATTGGTGTTTCTGTGATGCAACTTGCTGAAGCATCAATTGGAACTAATTGCAGCTTTCCGCCATAAATCTCTGGGAGCTGGTTTTCTTCAATATCTCCCAACAGTGTTGATTTCAGATTCTTATCCTCGACAAATACAAACTGCACAAAATCTCGTTAAGTTGAATTTCATTGAACTGCATAACATACACTAGAGAACTGTTGTGTTTAGAGATCATACTTTCTTCCTGGTCTTGTTGTCGATGAATGGGTATATAATCTTCCATGCCTTCATGAATAGATACGGCACGTGGATGACAAACACCTTACCGAGCCTTTCTGGGTAGTAATTCTGCCATTACTCATCCATAGTTAGGAAAGTAACTGCAATTCTCAGCTTCAATTAAAGTAGGGTTGATTGCGGATAGAAACCCTGTACTATTGCCCAACTGCGGATAAACCACCTGTACTTCTAATGTTGTAGATAGACCTCTAAATGAATTTCTTTTTACTCTTTTACCAGAGAAAGATAAATTTGTTTTTGATAAAATAGACCTATTAAGGGTAAAAGAGCCACCAAAAATTTCAGTCAGGGTTCATCAGCAACAATAGAACTACAGGGGGTCTATCTACAATTCGACGATAATACAGTAGGTCCATCCGCAATTACCCTGTCTTTCTGTCATCATGTACAGACTGCATTATTGTCATTGTTATCGATGTTACGAGGATATGAAGACAAACATATGTATGCATATAAATACATTATGTATACATGAGACTTAACAATGTGGGGTATTCGGAGGAACATGCCTGCATTATTTCTAGGCCAGCCAGACATCCACGGATGTCACAGTTCGAGTATCCCCAGCCTTGGAGATCTGCAATGATCACGAACATTTCTTGACCCCTTGGCATACTGCAATAATGAGAGATCGTAAACATCAGTCAAAAAAAAAAAATCTAATATCTTTAAGAGATTTTCTTATTCATTAAATGTATATATTGTCTAACAAATTAGTGTGCTTGTTTATTTGATTTATAGGTTACCATGCAACCCTGATAAAATCCCTAAAAAATACATTAAGAGCCTCTGGAAGAAAATGCTGCGGATTTCATAAATGTGTGAAGATTTAATTAGTTAATGTATGAGACATGTGTATTGTTTTTTGCTTTGAGGATCTCCTAGTATACTATATATATTTATCCTCTATGTATTCATGATTGAAACATGTAAGAGGACCCAACTATCATCTTGACACTGATAAATTTTTTTACCTGGTACATAATTTCTCCAAGACATAAGCAGCGTAGCCTATGAAACCAAAAAATCATCGACGTCAGAATCTCACAATATGAACGAAAAAGATAAAGAAAGAAATTGATTACAGCGAAAGTATTTTACGCTTGAATTCTTCGAGGTTTCGTTTGGAACTGTAATGCTTAGCTCCGAGCAAAACTCCGATAGGGCGACCCTTCTTATCGAGCCCTTGCATGTACATTTTCTCTTGTCGAAGTTCATTCTGGACGTCCTCCTCTGAGATGAAGCCTCTAGGGATGGCTTCTCGTCTCCATTTCAGGTATTTGAGGATCATGGAAGAAGCCTTATTGATGTCTAGATCACGTGCTCTTAGAAATCTTCTCATCGTAAAATTGTCTACTTCCTGCATAGAGGATGATTTTTTTTTGGTATTATTAGAAAATAGGAACTTGAAAATTTTGATGTAAAAAAAAGATGAGTGGATGACCATGAAAAATAAAAGAAAAAGGGGGTGAAAGATGAAACTAATCCGTAGTGAAAGTAATGTGGGAAAACTGATGCATTAACTAGGCATAAAAAGTATTTTTTTAAACCAAGCTATATTATTATTTTAACTACTAATCATTGTACAATGTAATATGATTCAAGAAATACGCACATAAAGCTAATATCTATTTTCTTAGAAATAAATTCACAAGTATGGTGGAAAATTTATGAACATGTATCTTATTTGTGACCACCGACTTACACACACACACACATAGGGTAGGGTTACAATACACCTAGGTACAGTTTGGCAAAGGGTTAAGTGAGGGGTTAAGGAGACTTAACCCCTTCTTAACCTGCCAAACACAACAAATCTATATAAGGGTTAAAGTGAGTTAACCCTCCATAATTTGCCAAACATAAAAAATAAAGAAGGGTTAAGTTAACCCCTCTAGAGGGGGTTAAAATGAGTTAACCCCTCAAAATGAGGGGTTTACTAATACTCCTATTTAGATGGAATAAGAGTTAACCCTTCTAATTATAAATAAAATAGTCAAAATCATTGTTATTCCCAAACACTAAAACTGATCATAAGGGCTAAAATAAAACTTATTTAACGGGTTAATAATTTAGTCATTCGGAATATCAAATGGGCTAAGTACATTAATCCTTATCTTTAACCCCTCTTCATTAACCCTTTGCCAAACGGGGCCCTATGGTGTAACTTAGTTACACCCACCTGTAAAAATACATGTTTGAGCGTCCATATTAACGATTAACACCATTCATTTTGATCTACATGTCATTAAATAAGCGTGGATCAAATATCATGTGGCTTCGGATTTTCTGTTCTATAATTCAAGCAACTCAAAAAAATAGGCATTTTAGACTGTTACAGACCGTTCATTTCTGAGTCATTAGATGTATAAACTAGAAATATCTTATCTATGTGATATTTTTGATCTCCATGAAGTTTTGAACGCATAGATCATGATGAACAATGTTGATCGTTAAGATCGACGTTCAAACATGTACTTTTACAGGTGAGTGTAACTAAGTTAGTTACACCCTAGGTGTATTGTAACCCCCACCCCACCACCCCCACACACACATGCATGCACACCCCCCCTTGAACATGCCATTGAAAAGACCTACTGATATATACAGACCAACACGCGCATATATATACACACGCGCGCGCGCACCCCCCCCTCTTACTCCTCTTACCTCCGACCCTGATGTCTTCCTCACCAACCTCCTCCTCTCCACTACTGAGCGTATCCTCCAACCCTGTCATTTTAGGCAAGTGTTGAGAAAGCTTAGAGATGAGAGAGAGGCGGTTAGCGAGATGGATGAAGAGGAGCATGGAGAAGGAGTAGGAGAAGAAGGAAGCACGAGTCGAGGCAGTCGCCCATCAAGTATTGAGGTCCATGGCGATGGGAGGTAAAGAGAGATGCGGGGGGGGGTTATGGATGGATTTGGTAATGGAGCGTGGTTTGCAAGAGACATAAAAGGCGGTAGGAGATGAATGTTAGGGTTAGGGCTCATATTTAGTGGATAATGAAGGAGGAGGAGGATAATCAGGATTTTGGGACATATGTGTTATTTGTCGAAATGCTCAAGAGGTGGATGAGTTGGCTTGCAGGTTAAAATGATATTACTTGGGCTAAAAATTTATCAATGCCTATAGAGTGTTTGATGAAATGCCAAAGAGAGATGTTGGTTTCTTGAAATGTGATAATAACATTTCGCGTACAAAGAAAAGTGGATGCAGGTCACCAAATCCACCATAACTCCTCCCCTTTACCTCCCATCACCATGGACCTCACTGGCTCCATGAGCTCGACCTCTCATTCCTTCTCTCCTACTACTTCTCCATGCTCCTCTCCATCCATCTCGCTGACCACCTCTCCTTCTTCTCTAAGCCTTCACAATGTTTGGCTAAGACGACGGGGCTGGAGGGTACGCTCGGTGGTGGCAGAGGAGAAGGCGGGCGAGGAAAACATCGGGGTCAGAGAGTAATAGGAGTAAAAGGGAGAGAGAGATAGAGAGGAGAGAGGTAGGGATAGGGGAGAGGAGGAGGAGAGGAGAAGAGGGGGAATGATCAATTATGGTCTTTTGGGATGAATTTCCATGAGAAGAGGGCAATTTCGAAAGAAGAGCACAAATACATCAAATACATGTATACATATGGGTTTTTGGGGTTGGGTCATATTTTGTTGGGTCTTTTGGGGCTAAACAACTTGGGGAAAAGTCTTAAGGGGCAGGCCACATGAGGTTTTTTTAGGTCCTTAGACACAATTTTTCCTATATACATTGAAGCCTTTGAAGTTTTAATGGTTGAAATTCTAATTAATACTCCCTTAATCACCAAGATTTGAAGTAATCCATTGATCTTCAAGAGCAACAAAATTTTGGTCCAAATCATCCGCAAACTATTCTAGATCCTTTGAATACTAGCTTGGAAGTATCATTTTCTTGTTGAAACAGTCAAAAGCAAGTTGGAGAAGTCCTTAAAAAGCGGTGCGTAAATCCATGGCTAATTGCCATAAAAAATTAAAAAAGTAAATGGTTAATTAGCACTTACATACCCTATAGTTACCCTAGTTTGTACTTATATACCCTCACTTGTTCTTGACTGCACTTGTACATCTTAAAGTTTTTTAAAGTTACGGTTTAATACAGTATGGTACTCAAACTTGAGAATTATTCCCCAATCTTTTTCACGTGACACTCCTAAGTTAGTTTTAGAATATTGTAACCATTAATTTCTGTTGAATTTAATGTTAAACGTACCCTAATTCTATTTTAAACGTAATCCAATTATATTTTCAAATAAAATTTAATGATCATTAATAGATAAAATTTTCTAAATTTAGCCTATGAGTCATATGGGAAATTTTAGGAGAAAACTCTCACATTTGCATAACACAAGGGGTTAAAATGCAAAATTTAGAAACTTAAGGGTTTATGAGGGCTGCCGAAATCAAGTGAAGGTATATAAGTACAAAATGGGAGAAACTATAGGGTATTTAAGTGCTAATTAGCCTAAGTCAAATTTTCCCTTCAAGGAAGCATTAATTTACCTTTGCACCCTTGGAAGAGGATCACGTTGTTAGGTTCAACTATATATTTCAATGAGTCATCACTCTTCAGGGCTTGTAATTGTAAATTCAAGGAAGCTTGCGAAAAAGTCAAAGATATAGTTAGAAAAAAAAAATCACGAGCAACAAAGTAAAGGGAGACTAGATCTATAGCTAACTAAATTAAACTCTTAGCAAGATCGTCGGCAAAGATAAATGCAATTTTTAGGTTATTGGGAGGATTTGTTTAAAAAAAAGTTGTCATACCCCTCAATTCAAAAATTATTTACTTTTGTATCCTTGGATCTGTCATTTACTGGAACGCAACCGTTTATTTATAGGTTAGCTCAATTGCTGCATGCCACCTAAAATGGCAGAAGCTTTTAAAAAGCTATAAATACCACATAAATACCTTATAGCTTCACTCACTTACCACTTACATATCCTCACTTAATTTTTTAGTATTTATATACCTTAAGTTGTTTAATATTAGCACTTTGATATCTTTTGTTGAGCAGAAGCAATTGACATGTAAGTGCCATGCAGAAACATTGGGATAAAAAAAATCCACATCTGCGTATCAAAAGTATCATTTCTAAACAATTTAGGATATATAAATAATGTAAAAACATAAGTGAAGGTATATATATAAGTGTTGAAGTGAAACTATAAGGTATTTAAGATCTATTTACCCTTTTAAAAGAGCAACAAACATAACTGAAGTAATTAATGAACAATTAAAAAACATAACTCAAGTAAAAAAGAGAAAGGAAAAAAGAAATGATGAACAATTAAAAACATAACTGAAGAAATTAATTAAGGAAAAAAGGAGAAAAAACTACTAATGAACAATTAAAAAACATAACTGAAGTAGTTAATCAAGGAAATTAAAAAGAGGGGGACAAAAGAAAAGATGACGGAGAGAAGGCAAAACCTTGGCCCGTGGATCTTGGCCTTCAACCAAGGCCCTCATCATGTTCACCTTCTTCCACTCGATCTCGTCACCGTCGCCGGTACCTTCACCTCCTCCTGCTAATTTG